CTGTCTCAGCATGATGATATTTTAAACTACAATTCCTCCCCTTCATCACCCGTTGTTTATCCAGATCACTTAGTTTTCTAATCTGTTATATAATTCACTTATTTATTTGGCTTAATGTCTGTCTTTCTGCATCCCCATGGCTAGACAAAAACTCTTGGAGGATTAAGAAATGTGTTCACTGCCATGTCCTCAGTGTCTAAACAGTACCTGGCCACACAGTGCTCAATAAAAGTGCTTTTGTTTTATAAGACGGAGTTTCGCTCGTTACCCAGGCTGGAGTGCAATAGCACGATCTCGGCTCACCGCAACCTCCGCCTCCTGGGTTCAGGCAATTCTCCTGCCTCAGCCTCCTGAGTAGCTGGGATTACAGGCACGTGCCACCATGCCCAGCTAGTATTTTGTATTTTTAGTAGAGACGGGGTTTCACCATGTTGACCAGGATGGTCTCGATCTCTTGACCTCGTGATCTACCCGCCTCGGCCTCCCAAAGTGCTGGGATTGCAGGCGTGAACCACCGTGCCCGGCTATAAAAATGTTTTGAATCCATGTTATCTTCCTGCTATTGAATGGTATCCATTTAATCATGCTTCTTGTAAACAGTTCTAAAATCTCTCATTGTTTAATTTAGATAGAATGCCTTCTAGGTTGGCTTCAGACCTGGAAATCCTGAGATTTCTTTTAATGTTATTACTAGAGTTGTTCTCTTTCAGAGTGTTTTTGGGACAGATGTGTGAAAAGTAAAGCCATTCATTGCTAGTCTAATCATCTTTGTTTTGCCATCTTACTTCATTGAGAATATAGCTATAGTCTGAATTCTATTTCAAAATAAGTCTTCTGCAGAGTCTGAGGGGAGTGCCCCATTATATTCCAGACCACAGTTGCTGCTGAGGAATCTGATAATCTTCAAAAGTTGAAGGAATAATCAGAAAAATAGTATTTCCCAGAGCTGAATACAAGGGTCTTTAGAACAAAATGTCCTTGAGGGCTGTGAAGTGAGAAAGTATAAATCTAAAAACAACTTTTTTTTTTTTTTTTTTTTTTTTTTGAGACGGAGTTTTGCTCTTGTTACCCAGGCTGGAGTGCAATGGCACGATCTTGGCTCACCGCAACCTCCGCCTCCTGGGTTCAGGCAATTCTCCTGCCTCAGCCTCCTGAGTAGCTGGGATTACAGGCATGTGCCACCATACCCAGCTAATTTTTTGTATTATTAGTAGAGACGGGGTTTCACCATGTTGACCAGGTTGGTCTCGATCTCTCGACCTTGTGATCCACCCGCCTCGGCCAAAACAACTTTTTTGAAATTTAAAACACAAAAAATGAAGAGGCCATTTAAAAAAAAATCTTTTTCCTTTGAAGTGCATTTTCCTTGATTTCTCTTTGTAAAACTCCCATTAATCACAGATTGGACCACCTGACCCTCCACTTCCTTCACCTTCTCATCCCTCATCACTCACTAGAATGAGTATTTCCTACGTTTTTGTTTGTTTGTTTGTTTGTTTTAGATGTAGTGTCGCTGTGTCACCCAGGCTGGAGTGCAGTGGCACGATCTCGGCTCACGTATACAACCTCTGCCTCCTGGGTTCACCTCCTGGGTTCAAGTGATTCTCCTCCCTCAGCCTCCTGAGCAGCTGGGATTACAGGCATATGCCACCACGCCTGGCTAATTTTTGTATTTTTAGTAGAGAAAGGGTTTTACCATGTTGGTCAGGCTGGTCTAGAACTCCTGACTTCATGATCCACCTGCCTCGGCCTCCCATAGTGCTGGCATTACAGGCATAAGCCACCAAGTCCGGCCGTTAGATTCTTTTTTAAGAGACAGACAGGGCCTTGCTCTGTGGCCCAGGATGGACTCAACTCCTGGGCTCAAGTGATCCATCTGCCTCAGCCTCCAGAGTAGCTGGACTATAGGCATGTGTCCACATGCCCAGCTGATATTTTTCTAAAATGTCTGTCTGACCGCACTAGTTTCCTATAGGAATATCAGACTGAAAAGAGGGAAGAAGGGAGAAAGGACTACTTGTTTCTGGTTCTGGTTTTAGGAGTAGCAGATCCTTTTATGCAACTGCCCTAGATGGTCTGTGGCCTTACATTGTGCACAGATTGGATATGGCTGCATTTACAGAGGGACAGTCCAGTCCAGTCGCTTAGGTACTGTACCTATCCAAGCAGCAAAAATCAGGTGAGCAAAACATACACTTGTGAAAAATGAGAATAGAACACAAGTAGACATTATGGACATTGGAAAGAGACTGAATTAAAGTTACCCCATTTGGAATTTGCATGGTTTTGAAAAAAGACAGAAGCAGAGTGATTTTTACCTCCTTTGCAGAATTTCTGAAAAGTAAAACACCAGTTTTTGGAGAAACCCAGAAACAGCAGCCAAAATGTTCAGCAGAGGCTCTGGGTAAAAGGCATGGTGTCTACGGAAAAGGACTCTGCCAGCTTACACATTTATTTGGAAGACACAGACTTAAAAATGATTAATATGTTTATGTAAAACTTAAAGCAATGGTAAGAAACAGGTAACTAGGTGAGGCTCTGAAGATTTTGAAAGAAGTGTCTTGCTTGCTGTTCCTTTAAGGGAGAAAAATGAAACAAAACATATTCATATGCCTAGGAATTCTTTCTGGGCCCCCAAGGCAGGTTTTAAGCTGCATTTAACGGTCTAAACCTATTGAATCCAGGCGTTCTAGTGAGTTTTAACAGCTTTAATGAACTCCATAGCTCAGATTTACAAAATAGAAAATTTAGGGGTTAGAATGAAGCACTGGCTTGACTTTTCTGCTAACATTATCTTATGAGATGAAAAGCAGCTTTCTTCAGTATCAAGATCATCACTCTGAGCACTTTCTTGTACGGGCCCAGATCAAACACTTGATCTTATTCAGGGAGTAACTTTTTTTCTTTAGTAAATAAAAAGATTTTTTTCTTCATCTAGGCATCAAAGACAAGCCAGATAGAACGTTAAGATCATGGGCATTAAAAGGATGAGGGTAGGAGTCAAAATGAGCCTTGAAGTTGCAGGTATCTGTAACAAAGTTTTTCTGTTCTTCCTGCATTGTTTTCAAAGATTCAGGCTCTTGCTCTGTCACCCAGGCTCAAGTGCAGAGGCAACATCATAGCTCAAGCTCACTGTAACCTTCAACTCCTGGGCTCAAGGAACCCTAGGAGAAAGTATTAACGGCAAACCCTCACAGTCTGAGAAACGTTGTAAAAACCAAAAGTTAAGGTGCCAAAATATAAAAAGTCAGATGAAGATGAGTCATTTAATGGTTTCAATTCTTACTGGACAATTCTGGACGGAGACAATTAATACAAGGTAAAATTTCAATTACGTCTTTTAAGTTTGTGAATAGTGTACTTCAAGCAGAGAGCACAGAATTTCCTTATCAATTTTGTAGATGTTTGCATCTTCATAAATACTAGCAATTCCTAGACTAGATCTCTGACATTTTATAATTTGTCTTTTTTTGTGTGGTTATGTGCCCCTCCTTGTTTTATGCATATCCTTTAAAACATGAGCCCACAGTATAATTGCTCTTGGTCTACTTTTTTATAGTTGGAATGTCATTGGATTGTCAGAATTTTATTTTGCAAAGAACTTCATTTTAAGCCAATTTCCTTTTAGTCTTTGGACATGGGATAAGGACAAAAGCTACCAGAGCTTTTGAAATACTCTTTCCTAATATTTATCTTTATGTTTTTTCTATTTTTAGAATTTGTGGCAATTGTCATAAAATGAAACCTCATCTATTCTCAGTATTCGACCAGCAAAACACCTCACTCACCTGTGCACATGATCTAATGCAACGAAGCGTCTCTAGTGGATTTTATCTGGTGAGTATGCAGATACAGATCTTGTCTTAAAACAGGGTTTAGCTGTGGAACTATGACATTTTGGACCAAATCAATCTTTGCTGTGGGAGCTGTCCTGAACACTACAGGATATTTAGCAGCATCCCTAGTTTTCATTCCCCAGATCCTGTACCACCCCTTCTTCAAGCTGTGATAACCAAAACTGTCTCCTGACATTGCTCCACTGTCTCCATGAGGCGCAAAATCACTCCCTATGGGAACCAGGGTCAAAAACCATTTTAGAGGCAAACTATAAACGAACTCCCCAAACTGTGATGGTGGAAACAATCTGTAACTTCCTAATACAGTAGCTGATCACTACATGATGCTACTAAGTACTTGAGATGTGGCTAAGTATGAGGAGAATTCTTAATTTTATTTCATTTTAATTTACTTAAGTCCTACATATACTATAAGGACGAGATGCTTCATCATGGAAAACTGTGTAGGTATCTGATACTTTTGTTAGAAAATATATGTGGTTGATGGGCAATAAAAACTGAGAGAAGTAGAAAATTAATATATACATTTTTAAAACTTTGCCCACCTCATTTCTACTCATACCCCTGCTGAATGACATACAAACTTCATCCTACGTTATATTTTAAAACTTGGTTTTTTTTTGAGACACTGGAGTCCTGTGCTGTTGCCTGGGCTGGAGTGCAGTGGCACCATCATGGCTCACCATCATGGCCTGGATCTCCTGGGTGCTCTATATCCTCCCACCTCAGCCTCACAAGTAGCTGGGACTACAGGCACATGCCACCACACCCGGCATAAATGTTTGTTTATTTTTTGTAGAGAAAGAGTTTCACCATGTTGTCCAGGCTGGTCTCAAACTATCCACCCACCTCCACCTCCAAAAGAGCTGGGATTACAGATGTGAGCCACCGCACCTGGCATAAATGTTTTATTAGTCCTACTTCTATCCAGTTAAGTTTCATTCTGACTAGGCATTTGTTAAATTAAAAGGTGAATTGTGAAGTTAAAGATTACAATGATAGAAATTTAAATTCTCTTTTAAATCAAAAAAGTTTTAGTTGTTTTTTGTATGATAGGAGTCATAACTGAAAATATAAGAATGCAAAAAATGTGCTCTAACTGAATGAAAAGAAAAACTAAACAAATTTAAAGGAAAGGCCAACCAAGATTGAAAGAAAACTTTTATTGAATCAAAATCAATACTTTCTTTTTAATATCTACAAGCCAACACGGAACTCATTTTATTCAAGAATGAACACAATGTACAAAAAAAGTATGCTTATATTATAAAAATATGTCAATTTTATCTTCTGGGTGCTTGGCAGAAGTCATTTTAAACAAAATCAAGGCAAACTTGTTCTCTATAATGAGTCTGCTATAATTTAACAACAAAGTGAAAGCTAATGTACTCATAAAGTATTTTTAAAGGCCCACTGATAATGCTGCACTGGGAATGCTAAACTCAGTATTAACTAAAGCCAACATTCCTGCTCTATGCTTACTGGCACCACTTCATGCCTACATTATGGGAAAGTACCTCTTTTATAGAATGCAGATCACTGCTAACAGAGTCCATGTGATTCAATCTTCGGTTTCCCTTACAGTTGTTAGCATATATTTCAGCAAAGATTAACAGTATAATGAATTTTGAGTAGTAAAATCCTATTTAATTAGCTTCAATTTAAAAATGAGATATGCTGCTATTGGGAACAGATGACTTTTCGAGGTTTACAACCCCATTTATGAACATGGGAAAGCTGCCTCCCTAAAAAAAGATTTATGTCCAAGGTTAATACCATATCTTTTTTGGTAATTTTTCTTATTTCTTGATTTTATTGGCACCTCCCAGGCACTTTGGCATGTGTTTCTGTATGAAGTATAGTTACTGTGCCTGCAGAGTTAGTGGCAGCTACAGAGTAGTTACAGGCTGACGAGTCCACTTTTGGCTTACCATGGAGATCCGCTCCAACACACGCTGGTCGTTGGAGCAACAGGAAAAATGGTGACTTGGAAAAAGAATAAAATCATGAATTGGGGAAAAGGATCATGACTTCCAGTATTATTGTTCCAGGAGTTATATGACAAGTAGAAAAACTGTACTAATTTAAAGAGTCAAAATAGAAGTAGACTAAATAGCATCAGTGCTAATAATGCCAAGAAAATCTCACCTCTTTTTTAAAGAGCTTGCACACAACAATGTCCCTGGCCAAGAAACTGACCCTGTCTGGCTGAGCAGAATGACAGTGGTACTCAGGCAAATTCCACACCGTGACATCCACACGTGAATCAGTGACAATGGATGAATTCAACTTTAGAAGATGATAGTTATTGAACAAACTACGAAATGTCTACTTCGAAGATGCAAATGTTTTTCCTTGGCAGATTCTGTGCTTGGGATTGACACAAAGGCTCAAAATTGCAAAATACAAAGATCAAGTAATCTGGTGCCCTGCTGTACTAGGTAAATGTACTGGTTGAAATTACATTTAAAAAACTGGGGGAGAAATGCTTTTATGTTTTACCTACATAAGCCTAATGTTTATTCAGTTGCCTGTTTTGCGAGAATCTGGGACTAAGATGAATGGAGGCAAAAGATAAAGTGATCCTTGTTTCTTTATTCAAAGTTATCTAAACTAAGTTTTTAATTACGCCTCATTTGTTACATGTAATGTTAATCCTACTAAATGTAGTTAGATAGGCCTGAATTAGAAATAGGATTTAAACATTTCAATGAGAACACAAACCACTGACTCTGGCTTAACACCACATTCTAGAAAAGAAGGAACCTTTACAGAAATATTTGAAATATACAAAATTTGTGCAAGGACAAAACATTTTAGAACCTGAGCAAAGGCTTCGTACAGGTTGTTTTCACTGGCAATAATTCAGCCAGGTCGGTGTGTTGCTTTTGGCAACTAATGTGGCCCCTAAAATATGTAGAACACAGGCCAGTGACTCAGGAGGTCTGCAGTTAGTAGTGCAGGCCAGAAGTTCAATAAACTGCTACTGGAAACCATAATGTTAAAAACAAGTAAAAATAAAAGAATGAGTGCACAAAGAAACAAACAGCTAGTAAGATGAAGCTGCTCAGGATCAGCCTGGATGAGAGTGTGACCACAACACAACACTCAGATGTACCACACCTCCTCGCTCTCAAAATAAATACATTGAACATTTACAACAGAATGAATGCCTTATGAATGCAAGCTCTTCTTTTATTGCAATTCTAATCAAATAGACCAAAAGGTCATAATTCTAAATAAGCTACAAGTAATCTTTTCCATGAAAATGATGTGACTTGGTGCCACAGCTAACTTTCTCTAATAGCAGCATCATCAGCCCACAGCAGCAAAGAAACATTAATTTCTGGCATCCCATGGGCTCTTATCGAAGCAACTTCATAAAGCATGCGGATATCTATTCTGCTAAAGTTTCAAACAAATAAAAATGATCATTGTGCTTGTGGGTCTCATACCTTCCAAAATATACATAAATGATGGCAAATTAACAAATAATAGCAGGTCCTTGCTTTCCAATAAAATCATAAGGCAGAGGGTTGACAGTGAAAAGAAAAATGTTTAAAATGAAAAAAAAACCTGCAAAGTGGTGTTAGCATTCACAGAAAAGATCATGCGAAGATCAGATCCATACTGATTAAACATTGAAAATTCAGCGACAATCCAAAGAACTCTGTCCATGAGTCCAAAGGCATGCATGCCGGCTGAAGGAAATGCAGGATTCATCTGACAGTATCTTCTTCAGAGAAGAACAGTAACACCTCACTGGAATAATCATGACAGGGTGAACAAGGTGCCATCACACTTCTTTTTTGTAATTCAAAATAAAAGAAACGCAATCACAGGACAAAAATTACAGAATAGTGGACAGAGAAAATACAGAAATTCACAATGACCCTATAAAGCAAAAAAAACTTCAAATTATTTCTACACTTTCAGGGTTTATCCTTTTTCAAAGTAGTCTTTTTAATTTTAAAAGTTTATAATGAAAGATTTAAAAATGAAGTGTTAATTATAAAATTACCCCTCATGAGATTACCTATACTATCAATACTTTTTTGAGACAGAGTCTTGCTCTATTACCCAGACTGGAGTCCAGTGGCGCAATCTCAGCTAACTGCAACCTCTGCCTCCTGGGTTCAAGCAATTCTTGTGCCTCAGCCTCTTGAATAGCTGGGATTACAGGCATGTGCCACCACACCCGGCTAATTTTTCTATTTTTAGTGGTGATGTTGGCCAGGCTGGTCTCAAATCCCTGGCCTCAGGCGGTCTACCCACCTTGGCCTCCCAAAGTGCTGGAATTATAGGTGTGAGACACCATGCCCAGCCTCAATATTCGAAATAATAATTTCACTCATTTCAAGGACACATAAGAAGCATCTTGTCATCAGAATCTTCCCCAACCAGATGTTTTAACATATTTAAAGTTATTAATAAGGAAAAGAACCTAAAACTTACTTACATTCAAAGTGCAGGACCTACACTTCTTAGCTGAGTAATTTTGCCTTTCCCAGTAAGTTCACAATTAAAAAATAAATATACGGGATTTTTATATATACATACATACATATATATATATATATATATATATATATATATATATATAAATTTTTTAAAACTCCAAGACCTAACTAAGGCTGCCTGTGACATCAGCTATTACTGGCCATGTCTGGCCCACAGGTCCAGACCCCAGCTCCAAGTACTCACTGGAGAAAGGACCAGGGCTATCCCGCCTTCGTATCCACGAGCTGCATCTGCATCTGCACATTGGCAGGCATTCCACCTCCATAGCCTCCCTTGGACTGCATTTGGTTCTGAATGGAGCTAACCTAAAACAAGACAAAAACACAACAAAATAAAATGGAAGTCAGGAACTAGGTCCAGTGCAACTAAGTAATTCTTTTCCCAGAATTCTGCTTTTTTCAGAAGGGTACTTTTATAAACTTAAACATTTTCTGGTTACAAGGACAAACAGGGAGACTAGCAATTGAAACAATTTTTGCAAAAATCTCTATTTTCTCTATTTACAAATTACTAAAAGTCAGTTTTGTAATTTACAAGGTATTTGGTAACATTTGAAAAAGTCAAAAATATATAGATCAACTCCACTTTTTTTTGTTTGAGATAGAGTTTTGCTGTATTGCCCAGGCTGGAGTGCAGTGGCACAATCTCAGCTCACTGCAACCTCTGCCTCCCAGCGATTCTCCTGCCTCAGCCTCCCTAGTAGCTGGGATTATAGGCACATGCCACCACACCCAGCTAATTTTTGTATTTTTAGGTTTCACCATGTTGGCCAGGCTGGTCTCAAACTCCTGATCTCAAGTGATCCAACTGCCTCAGCCTCCCAAAGTATTGGGATTACAAGCATGAGCCACCGCACCCAGCCCATCAACTCCACTTTCTGCTTCACAACCTCAAGTATCTTAATTTACAGATACCTCACATAGATAAATCACCTCAATTACTTAGTAAAGAATCAAAACCAAGAAAATAGCATGAATAGTATTGGTCCAACCACAGATATATCTTAAAAGTCTGTGTCATAAAATGTGCCATCTTAATATAGTCTGATAAAAAAGAATCAAAGAATCCAAAGACGAAAGGATAGTAGTCCCAGTTTATTTATTAATATTGTAACTGGGTAAAGTATCCTCTCTGAGTATCAGGCTTCTTATTTGTAAAAGGGTTAAGCTGGTAATCTTTCCTGACCATATTAAAGGGCTGTTCCCTGAGAGATTCCAAGATATATAAAAGCCAGGATATTTTCTTTTTACTGAAACAAAGGCACATAAATGCATTTGCAAACTGTGAAGTACTTTCAGCATATTATTATTATTATTCCAGTCATAGTTCATACAAATTAGAAGTGGGATGGAAACAGAGAGCTGGTAAGTCAGGCTGGACTGCTAGAAGAAGGAACACAAGCAATACTATTTTGGAGGTGATGGCCCAACAGTGGAGAAAGAACACTTGGCGGCATGGTTGAGTATTTCGTGGAATCAGCGCAAAGGGCCCTTCACAGTTCCACAATTTGGAGGGGTGCAGGGAACCGAGGGTATCATCTATTTATCAGTCATCTGCTTATCAAATACTTACTTACTGAGCACCTACTGTAATATAAGGCATGATGGCTGAGGTGCTTTCCATTGGTGATTCTAAGTCAATATTGTATTAAAAGAAAGTAAGACTTGTTGGCCGGACACGGTGGCTCACGCTTGTAATCCTAGCACTTTGGGAGGCCCAGGCGGGCAGACCACCTGAGGTTGTGAGTTCGAGACCATGGAGAAATCCCGTCTCTACTAAAAATACAAAATTAGGCAGGTGTGGTGGCACATGCCTGTAATCCCAGCTACTCAGGAGGCAGAGGCAGGAGAATTGCTTGAACCCAGGAGGTGGAGGTTGCAGTGAGCCAAGATTGCACCATTGCACTCCAGCCTGAGCAACAAGAGCGAAACTCCATCTCAAAAAAAAAAAAAGTAAGACTTGTCTAACTCATTTTTGGAGTAAGGAAGGTTTCGATATAATACAAAATAACGGCAAAACAGAAAATGCATAACTTATTTAGATCAAAAGAGTCTATATGAGAAAATGTGGTTGGCTCTTAAATGGGAATATTTTTACTAACCTGGAAATTTCCTTACATGGAACATCTTATTTGTATGACACCACATTATAAGGTGTTACTGTAATAGTCACATTAATCAAATGATTAGTATGAGTGTAAGAAGAAATCTATAGGCTTTTTTTTTTTTTTTTTTTTTTTAACATAAACTTACTCAGTTAAAGCAGTGTGAACAGGCCAGGGCCTGCCATAGGATACTAGTTCAAATTCATCATCTGCCCCTTTAAGGTAACATTTTGTGGCACAAATTTGATACTAAATAACGTTTTCCACTTAACATGGTATATTAGCTTTTACAGATATTTTAGGCCTGTCTTTAAAAACATCTTTATGACCAGGTGCAGTGGCTCACAGCTGTAATCTCAACACTTTGGGAGTTCAAAGTAGGCAGATAACTTGAGCCCAGGAGTTTGAGACCAGCCTGGGCAACATAGTGAAACTCCACCTCTACAATTAAAACATAAAAACTAGCTGGGCGTGGTGGTACAGGTCTGTAGTCCCAGCTATTGGAGAAGGCTAAGGCAGGAAGATCGACTGAGCCTGGGAAGTTGAGGCTGCAGTGAGCACTCTAGCCTGGGCAACAGAATGAGACCCTGTCTTTAAAAAAAGGAAAAAACAACAACAAAAACAAACAAAAATCTTTTTTTTTATACTGTGCATTCAATAATGCCATGCAGATTCTAAGAAAAAAAGTATTTTTTTTCTCTAAAAGTCAATTCTTCAATTTAAAGAATTTGGTTTAAGTAACCCTTATTAAGTAACTTTAATAAGTAATATTTCAGTGTTGAGACTGAATGTATTATTTTGACTGTGAATATACAATATTTTAACACAACAGGGTTATATTACTGAAAGGGTAACAGCAATCTTTTCTGGCAAAAAGGTAGTAGAAAAGAAAAGTCTTTTAACTAAGTAAAGGTAGAAGAATGATGTATTTAGAGAAAAAAAGAATTGTAAGTCATTTAACCATTCAATAATACAGTTTAGGCAAGCAAGCCATGTTATTAACACTAGCTGCTCAGTTCTCAGGATAGACAAACAACAGACAGTTTCTTTGACTAAACAGCATGTCTATTTATGGTTTTGTCTTATTTACACTATTATTGCATAGGATAGGAGAACATAATTTTTCTCACAGAGTCAGGCCCATCAAATCAGGACTATCAATGATAACTCTCAGGCAAGTATGGTGGTTCATGCCTGTAATCCCAGCACTTTGAAAGGCCAAAGTGGGCGGATCACCTGAGGTCAGGAGTCTAAATTCTGCTTTAATAAAAGTACAAAAAATTAGCAAGGAGTTGTGGTACATGCCTGTGGTCCCAGCTACTCAGGAGGCTGAGACAGGAGAATTGCTTGAACCCAGGAGGCATAGGTTGCAGTGAGCAAGACTGAGCCACTGCATTCCAGCCTGGGTGACGGAGTGAGGCTCCATCTCAAAAAAAAGTTACTAATTGAACAAGACCATTCCTAACAGCAAGAACTCAGTGCTCTGTAACGGTGGGATGGATGCTGAATATCGAGATAGCAAACTTAAATATGAATGGACTATAAAACACATTTGGGAAACACACTTAGCTCTAAAGAGCTGAAATACTTCATCAAAAGTCCACCTCAATAGCAGAGAAGGCTGCCTGGAGACAGCAAAGTAGAAACTCTACAACAGCTGAAGTCCCATCTTAATCCTGCATCTAAGGTTAAGAGGCAGATGTGCAAGCCCTGCAAAGTACAGTCCTAAAGTTCTACCCAATGATGACAAGCAAAAAAGTTGGTATGCCAAGATGGGTTTTCCATTCAGCGAGGAATCTTAAAGGAAATGCAGAAATGTACATAAGGTTTTAAAGGTTAACAAATGCCATGAACTAAAATTTAATTCTTCCTATACAGTTGGATTTTTTTTATTTTTTATTTTATTTTTTTTGAGACGGGGTCTCACTCTTCACCCAGGCTGGAGGCATGATCTTGGCTCACTGCAACCTCTCCCTCCTAGGCTCAAGCAATCCTCCCATCTCAGCCTCCCAAACAGCTGGGACCATAGGTGCACATTACTATATCCGGGTAATTTTTTATATTTCTGGTAGAGACAGGGTTTCACTATGTTGCCCACGCTGGTCTTGAGCTCCCTGGCTCAGGCAATCCACCTGCCTGCCTCGGCCTCCCAAATTACTGGGATTACAGCCATGAAACACTGTGCCTGGCTGTATAGTTGGATTTTTAAAAAATCTAAGGTGGCAGAGACAACATTTGTTAATGAGAAAGAAATTAAAATTCATATATAACAAATTTGAAACCATCATTCTCTTTATATAGATTATAGTAACCATATTAATAAAGTAATGGGGCCCCCCCATTTAGTCTTTTCACTCTATGTTGATAAGGGAAACAAAGCTACTGATTACTTTGACAGGAACATGATACCTCTTGCATTTCCACAAAGCAGTCAAGTGAAACAAAGTACTTTTCCTACAGATTAAAACCGTCTGTTTCCTTTCCAGGAAGGTTTAGATGTCATTCCTTTGCTTACCTAGTAACTGAAGTGACAAACGTCCTTGCTGTATCCAGGATACCCATCTACCTATTTTTAAAGTCCCTTTTAAGTCTTTTGTTAATGCTGTCTAGTAAGTTGGTATATGGTGGATCATAATTTTGTGTTTATAAAACCCTGCTGACTTTCTGGTTCTCAACACTTTAGGGATCATTTAGATACTTGTTTACTTTAGGCACAGGGAAAAGAGTCAGTCTGTTGATACTCAGTGGCTTGCTTTAAGGCAAATGTGAGGAACAACTCTGATAAGAACCTACATTTGGTGCTGCTTCTATTATACTGCATTCTGGTTTTCTCTTCAATAAAAATTAACAACTAAAAGATCAGATGAATAGATCTAAAGCCTATTCTGAAACTCACTGAAACCTCTATTAAAAGACAGCAAATAGATCTTGTTTCTGGTTCTTCATACCCTACTGCCTTGCCCTAAAAGGAAATGTGAAAATTCAAATCCTATGCTTAGTGCGGAAGAACGTAAATAAATCACAAACATTCTAGTATTATCAGGTAAAGATGAATAGTTAACAGGGGTCCCAAGCACCCCAGCCGCAAACTGGAAGTGGCCTGTTAGGAACCAGGCTGCACAACAGGAAGTGAGCGGCTGCAAGTTAGCAATACGGCCTGAGCTCCGCCTCGGGTCATATCAGTGACGGCATGAAATTCTCACAGGAGCACGAACCCTATTGCGAACTGCACACGTGAGGACCTTATAATTTTATTAAAAATTATAAGACTGCTGCTTTTATAAAATAAAATACTGGCCTGTGGTAAACATTGAGTTACTTTTTAAAAAAATTTATTTTTAACATTACTAGTAATAACACAGAGCAATGTCGATTGACATAAAATCAATAATTTATAGATAAATTTACTAAAAAATATATATATAAAAAATTAGCCGGGTATAGTAATGTGCACCTGTGGTCCCAGCTGTTTGGGAGGCTGAGGTGGAAGGATTGCTTGAGCCTGGGAGGGAAAGGTTGCAGTGAGCCAAGATCATGCCTCTGAACTCCAGCCTGGGTGAAGAGTGAGACCCCGTCTCAAAAAAAGAAAAAATAATAATAATAAAAAAAATCCAACTGTATAGGAAGAATTAAATTTTAGTTCATGGCATTTGTTAACCTTTAAAACCTTATGTACATTTCTGAATTTCCTTTAAGATTCCTCCCTGAATGAAAAACCTATCATTGGCATACCAACTTTTTTGCTTGTCACCATTGGGGTAGAACTTTAGGACTGTACTTTGCAGGGCTTGCACATCTGCCTCTCATTAGACCTTATGAGAGTCTAATGCTTGATGAACTGAGATGGAACAGTTTCATCCTGAAACCATCTCCCCCTTGGAAAAACTATCTTCCATTAAACCGGTCCCTGATGCCAAAAAGGTTGGAGACCTCTGGTTTACAAAATAAAGCAATAAAAATGTGTGCAAAAGGCAACTAACTGAACTTAAAAGAAAAAAAGATTGATTATTATTAAAAAGGCTAATCTCCAAGTCCCTTTGGTGGGAGCAAGAGAATCAATAGGATATTAACCTCCATTCTGAACTCAAATACTTTCAAGTTTCAGAACAAAGGCAGCTATGAACAGTTGAGTACAAGAAACAGAAACAAATACATAACTGGCAAACCAGAAGACATGAATTTTTCATCATTAGTTTGCTTCTCTCTTCTATGCTCACATTGTGTATTTACATTTACTGCATACAAATTCATTGAGCACAATGCCATTAAAAATGTTTGTGCCTATCACACAGGTTTCATATGACTTCGCCCCAATGCCCTACCTGTGTGTCCCACCAATATACTTACTGAATTCATTTCACTGAACAGGTCTCCTGATCCAACATGAGCCGTGTGCACAAAGTTTGTGGGCTCTCCAATCATACTTCTGTCAATCCGTCGTCGCCTTTTCTAAAAGATGGGCAACAGTATGTTGAGAAAGTGATCTTGTTAACAACTTACTCTGATGAATTTTTTTTTTTTTTTTGAGACGGAGTTTCGCTCTTGTTACCCAGGCTGGAGTACAATGGCCCAATCTCAGCTCACCGCAACCTCTGCCTCCGTGGTTCAAGCAATTCTCCTGCCTCAGCCTCCCGAGTAGCTGGAACTACAGGCGCGTACCACCATGCCCAGCTAATTTTTGTATTTTTAGTAGAGACGGGGTTTCACCATGTTGACCAGGATGGACTCGATCTCTTGACTTTGTAATCCACCCGCCTTGGCCTCCCAAAGTGCTGGGATTACAGGCTTGAGCCACCGCGCCCGGCCTCTGATGGATTTTTATACTATGACTGTTTAATAATAAATTTGCCAAGAACACAAAAATGCCTAGCTCTTAAGACTGTCACAATTACTTCTTATGATGAAATCCCTAAGAGAAACATATGCACGGAAGTGATTAGTAAAGCAAATTAATAAGTTATTATTTAGAGCTTAATAGATTATTTGGTTTAGCTTTGGTCACCCACATATTTGTATAATAACCGCTTAAGTTTTATTCTTTTTAAAAAGCAAGACAAATGTAAAATTACCATCAGTCACTATTATTGTTGGCAAAGAACACAGTGCGGTTTGAATACAATGTCTGATTTTAAATATTACATTCTTTCATCATTAACAGATATATTACATTTTGATGGTTATTACTTAGATTATACCCAATTACCTTTCTATGCTAAAATGAATCTGTCATTCGGCTGGTGGGGGTGGGAGGGACAGTTTTGGTCCTAGTCCATTCACTCTTCTCTGGTCTGTTCTGGCTGGGAACTAAACCTGTTGTCTTAACTAGGCTGAGGCTGGGTTTTACTGACTCTTCCATATATACACTTTATACACTTTTTTTTTTTTTTTTGAGGTGGAGTCTCGCTATGTTACCCAAGCTGGTCTTTAACTGGGCTCAAGCAACCCTCAAAACTCAGCTCCCAGGCAGCTGGGATTACAGGCATGCACCACTGCACCTGGCTGACTCTTCCTAATTTTTGACAACCACTTCTCATGGGTGCTGGGCCCCATTTTCCAGTAACTTAAGCCACCAGCTGGTGTCCCTGTTCTGATCAATATGCTCATCTACCCCTTAGAGATAGTTCCTTACCCTACTGCTGTGTTTCACTGATTATCTAAGATTTTCCCAGACATGAAGATTACCTTAGATCTGTCCTGAGTTTTCCATGACCCTTTAGATATGATAATCTTATTGGGAAAGACCACTGGCCAAGCTGGGTAAGTATCCTACTACGACCTCTGCTTACCCTAGCTTACTTTCCTTTCCATGGTATACTTCTCCTGAAATTGCAGCTTCCTCAAAACCAAGCCAAGTTATAAACTTGTTGAATTAGCTGCCTTTGAACATAATACTTTTATCTATTGAAATGCTGGCATGATCCTGATAAACCCTAAAATTTTATCAAGACAGTCCCATATGACAGTTCCTCAGGGTTAGAACATGATTTTCTACAAAACTACAAAAGCAGAGAGTCCATGCATATATTGTAGAAGTCCATATACATTGTTTTACTCTCCTCTCGTTTATATTGTCATAGATTACAAACCAAAAAATAAAAAATAAATAAAATGCCTGACGCTTTTCCTTTGAAATATTGATGTTCTTCATCTTTAGAATTCAGCAATGACATGAGCCCATCTCCAAGTTTGTTGGGTTTTCTTTCTACTAATTCTGCATGACATACAGTTGTCTAAACACAGGTTTTCTGTATCTTAGAAAAGTTTTATTCTGTTAGTTCTTGAAAGTTGCTCCATTTGTTCATTTTGCTAGTTCTGGACTTCCTGCCATGTGGACATTTGAACATGTGTGTCTATAATCTTCCAGGTGTCTAATATTTTCATTCTTTATTTATAATCTTCATAATTTCACCACATTGGAAAATAACTCCACTTGATCCTTTTCAGAGGTCCATGCTAGATAGTAAATATTATAAGCCTGCAGGCCAATATAGTCTCCATGGTAGTTTTGACTCAACTCTGCTATTGTAGCATGAAAGCAGCTACAGATCATATGAAATTAAATGAGTGTAGCTGTGTTCTGGTAAAAATTTATTTACAAAAACAGCTGACAGGCTAGATGTGGCCTGCAAGTGGTAGTCTGCTGACCCCAGCTCTACATTTTTTCAGTAATAGCCACATAATTTCATTTTTCCATTATGGTTATTTTTCAGAGGCTCTTTGTTTTGACATGTCATTGCAATATTTTTTAATCTCTGAAAAAGCTGTATTATAGCTTTTCATTCTTTTCCCTAAAAACACTTAACTATATAAATTATAAGTCTGTACTAGTAGAGAACAAAGTATTCTCATGTCTTTATTTGAACACGTTTAGTTTTACTTCCAGCCCTTTTTTGAAAGTTGGTAAGAAACTGTCTGTCTTTTGGGGCCCTGTTCTATAGGATCATATAAAACTTTCAGGTTAAAATGGTATCATAAAGTCAAAAGAGGCTTTTGTCTATGTTGTTTCTATTTCTTAGCATAGTGCACTGGTTTCCTGCCATCTTTTCCTTGCATATTGCTGCCTCTGATGACTTTACAGGTGCCTCATACAAAGACTCCCTGCCCCTAATAGCAGACATGACACCTACAACCATCCTTTGATCTGGAGTGCTGCATCCCAACAATGCACTGGTCTCTTCCCCTGTTCCCCATCTTTTTCACAGACTCAGTTTGTCTATGTCCAACCACCCTATTCAACATACTTCTCTTCATATTGTTTGGAATGATAAAGCATAATTCTATAAATTACCCTTAAGAAACAATGCTAGCTTATCTTTTTTAGGAGTAAGTAGGGAAAAAAGATGCTAACAGTTTTGTGCCTTTTTCTCTTAATAATATTACCTTTCCACTAAATTTTCCTTATTAGGAAGCTGATTGTCCTGGCATAACCAAATATAATCTTTACCCTCAGAGGATATAAATTTTCTCAGTATGTGGGCAGGACAAATTATTGGGATTTCTTCCCCAGTGAGCTCCTTGACTGACAGGTACAGAGGGAAGCTTCTAGGTTCTTGTCACAGTTCCACAGGACAGTGGCATCTGCAGGACACCAGACTCTTTCCAAGGCCTTATACGGTCAACATGTAAAGATAACTGCTTCTGATATGCAGAGAGAACCACTTGGCTCAGCCAGAGGGCCCTTTCAAGCAGAGGAGGTGGTGGCATATACCAGAGAATCAGACCTACTTCCAGACCACTAGGAGTCGTCTCGATCATTCCTTGTCCTGTGAACATGCAGAAGCAACTCCTAACAGGTCTCATTCTGTATCATTTCCTCTGGAAGGGGGTGTTTAGAGCTTACCAAAAGGCTCCACTTGGTCTATACCCCCATATTAAGTGATTTATTCTGTTGAGTTACTGCAGGACTGTGTTGGGGGAGAACAGAAACCATGGTGTGCTCAGGCCACCAACCATCTCACCCAAAAAGAATGAATAGATATGCTTGTGAAAGAGGCGTATTAACACACTCACAAATAATAATTCAGCAAACATGATTACTGTGGGAGAATATTCAAAAGCTGATAACAAAACAAGTTCCCAAGAAGCTACCTCACACTGAAAAGCAAAGGATGGGGAAGACTTCAGCTTACTTCTATCATACTGTGTTGTTACGTAACTTACATATATAAATGTGAAAATAGTGAATATTTTTCAACTTGAACTATACCGAGCTGGGAATCAGACCTTAGTATTGAAAGGTTTCTTCATGGCATCTAATCTGTTTGTGAGATATGAAAGAAGCTTCCAGTTCTTCCCTCCCTAAGGCTGAAGGAACTCAGCTGTCCAGAAACTGAAAGGAGCAACTGTGTTGTGCGAGCATAGTAAAGGTAAAGACCTAAGATGAAAATGGTACCATAAGCAAGAACCAGATCACACAGGGTCTGTGAAGGACTGAAGTGTGTGATCCTCCCAAGAACAATGGGAAGTAACTGAAAGTCTTTTAAAGCAGAGGAATAACATGATCAAATAGCTTTAGAAGACTATTCCACAATAGCTACAGGTAGAAAACAGGTTAGAAGAGGTCAAAAGAAGTTATTAGGGTAATGTTGGTGAAAAGGGATTATGTCCATTACTAATAACACAGATGGAAAGAAATGGATAGATTCGAGAAGTGGTCAGTAGATAAAATCAACAGCATTTGCTTGCAGGCTGTATTTGGTAACTGAACAAGAGGGAGGAGTTAAGAAATATGCACAGACCAGGTTTCAGCAGAGTGTATGCAATTCACTGGGTTCTAAAAAGAATATCAATTGGAGATAAGAGACAGAGAATCGCCAGCTTAGTTAATGAGATTTCCTAGACAAACTAAATTTCTGCGGTTGGGTAGAGAAGAAGCCATCAGAAGAGGCCAAAAAGAAACAGCCTAAAACTCAATAGGAAAATCAGGAATGTGTGTACAAGTGTCAAGAGGGGGCAGGCAACAGAGCTGAAAGGTGATGAAAGGTCAGTTGAAGCAGAAGTATGTGCACTGGACTCAGCAATATCAAGTCGATGGGCACCTTAGTGAGTGTCATGTCAGTGGAGTAATGGGAAAACACACACTGGAGGGGATTAAGGTAGGTCTAAGAAGTAGAAAATGGAGTAAGAGAATAGACAACTTGGGAGAAAAGTATGGCCTTCTGGACAGGAAGAAGACAGGTCAGTAGCTCAAAGGAGAAAAGGAAATGAGGACAGACTGAATTCTCCCCTGTAAGATGGCAGAGAATTCATTACGCTCGATTTCTAATAAGAAGGATCCAGTAAAAGAGGTAAAGAAAAAGAAAAAAGAAAAAGTGAACACAAAGAATGTTGACTGTCAACATTACAAGGTTCCTGAGAAGGCAGAAAAGGTGGATCCAGACACAGGTGGAGATGTTCTTTACACTCTTTCCTGTAACACTCTATCAAAAACCTGGATTTAAATATAATTA